CTGGTCGCATGTATCCCTTCAACATGTGCTAACTCATGAAATGACTAAGAACTCTGGAAAGACCAGTTTGGGAGATGGTGACATTAAACGTATGATTGTCTTAATGGAGTCTTCAAACAGGAAACCTATCCGCCATGGCATTTCAATCTGTACTCTTTCCTAAGACAAAACAATATTGGGCTCTCTATGACTCACTCTGCATTCAAAATGGCAACTTGTACCGGAAATATGACAGCTAATACTTCCGAGATTCACGTAGGAGCTTGACCAAAGGTTACTTCGGAATAATGAAGACTTACACAGTCAAAAGTCTTAAATCCGGACTCGTCAGGACTGGTATCTGGCAAGATGGCAGGCAGAAATTATACAATTAAAAATATGAAATCGTAATTTATGAAATAAAGAGCAATTGTGATCTAGAAGGTATCAAAATTTACAACAAAAAAAAAAAAAAAAAAAGTTTAATATTTATTTGTTTACTTTATTAAACATTTCTTTCAACGCATGCATGCGTAAAGCATACATTACGCATAGTCGAAATTAGAAAATTGCAACGAGAAACTATTTTATGCATATTCGTGATATTTATAATGATAAAGAAATTGATTTAAATCATATCAGAGTACACTGAAATGAAATACTACATTTAGTAAGGAATTATAAGCCAAATAATATAAAAACATCTGCGCTGAAGATGAGGATAGTGCTGACAGATCAACTTGCAGTTCCTTGTGCGCCACGATGTTCCCCCCTCCCACCCCGGCGCAGAGCAGCGTGAAATTGATAAACAGATTTCGGAATGGTTGGATAAACAAAGGATATGACTTTATCCATTTTTTGGAGCAATTCCACTTTTTGTTTGATGGACATCGAAACATGCTTTCGCTTTGTAGATCCTTTGGCAGCTCCAGAATCGGAAATTCTATTTGACATAATCGAAAGTTCAAGCTTACTTTTATAAAATTGCTCTAACAGTCTTCAAAAAATAATAAGCCAAATCTAATTCGAAGATTAAGGAACAACGCAATCTGCAACATTAAGTGAAATAGATAATTAGATAATTTTAGCTTAGCTTATACCGTCCGTTATACATTAAACGTGCATGCGTAAAGGTATTACGTATGTCTACCATTGCTTTCTGCGCACGCGTAAACGCAGTAACGCATAATGAGTTTACACATGCGCAGAAAGTTTGTATGTTTGAGGTCCGGATTATGGACGTCCAGATTAAAGACTTTTGAGTATATAGACATATAGAGTTTGAGAATGCTTCTACTGGAGTAATGCAAGGGGCAAAAGTGGCATTCATCATGCAATGTTTGGTCAGAAAGAACGAAAGAAAAGCTGAGGAGGGAACCTGAAACGTTAAGCACCTTTTGAACATATCACCTTTGAGATCCTGGGACTTCTGCCTTGAACTGCTGATGGGAACAAATACTCTGTATCTCTTTAATTACATTCTGATTTAGGAAGGAATTGTGTCGCAGTTGTAAATAAACAACTCTGGAAACTACTGGGCACAGGCAAATCCAAATGATATCTTTAAATCTGCAATCAGACCTCATTACAGAGTGCTTTTATCGCACCATCCTTAACAAGATCTCATTAAAGGTTTCCAGAAACTATCAGGACTAGGACCAGAAGTTACCTTTCTTCTTATTGGCTTATAGCAGTGGTGTCCACAAGACTACCAGCTATTCTCCATCTCAGATGCTGTTCAGTCATGACCTTCATCTGCCTTGTCATCTGTTGTTCGGTCGCCCTCAGGATGTGCCTTTATCGTCTGAGGTGTACATTCAAGATCGCTAGGCACAGTTTGAAGTGATGCACAATTTTGCACTAGAGATCGATGAAAAAAAGAGAAAGTAAGTAGGTTGCCATAAATTAAGAATTTTGCCAAGTGAATTATTCTTGGCACAAACTAAAGAAAATTTGCCACGATATTTTTTTTTAATTTCTCCATAAATTTTGCACTAAATTTTACAAATTTAATATTAGGCATAATTTGAGTATACATGGGGAAAAAATGTCATTTCAGAAAATCTCCGATTATGTGTCAAAATACCTATGTTAGAACAATGCTGTATATAAATCTAATACATATCCTATGTCGCACTTTTGAGACAGGAAAAACACAATTTGAATTTTGTGAATCGGCCCAACAGAACGGGAGATGTAGAAGTGCCCCCCCTTTTTTTTGGCACATTTCCCAGATTTAAATCACATTAACAATGTTTGGAATACTTTGAGAACTGTCCCTTGTTTTAGTCCAAAGCAACAATTTGCTCTTAAGGACTATTAATTTCATTTTGGCATTTTGCATTGAAAGCTTGTAAATGGTGAATCATTTTTTCATATTGTTGACACCAAATACTATCGCTCTGTTTTATATTTAAAGAATTAAATAATGAAGAATGTGCATTAATGTATGTATGTATGTTTCTCACATTGCAATAAAACAACCACACCTAGAGCTATCAAAATTTCAATAATAATCTTCTATAGAATATGGGCATGTGAAGCCCTAATTAGAATTTGAAATTCGTTTTATTATCGATTTCATATTTTGTAACACTTCAGTGAATTTTTGATGAAAAAACTAAACGATTTCAAAGCGAGTGATGGCAACACTGTACGAAAAAACATATCCAGCGTGCAAGACTCTCTATTTAAAATTCTAAAGATATGCTCATTTTAAAATTGTTTTGGGATATTGCTGTTGAATTGAATTCAATAGTTTGAGTATGTAAAACATGATATTTGATAAATAAATGTAACACACAAAACTTTTTTAAAAATGCCCCTTTGGACGTAATTTAAAATCTGAAACCTTTCAAATTCCCCCCTCCCCTTTTTCTTTTGCCTGGGTAACTCATGTCTGTTTCCTTAGCTGTACCTTCTTCTATTCAAATTATGATCAGCATATATAGAATTGTGTTGCACCGATAGTGAAATGAAAATAAGAAAATATATCCTAAAACTTATTCTTCAAGAAAATAAAACAATGTATTCTGTAATATACAAAGTATTCAACATCTGAAGTTTTCTTCTTCTGTCACACATCCTACTCGTGTGCGAGCTACATCTTTCTACAACATCTTGGCAATCACTAAAAAGTTAATTGGTGCCTTTTTCCGCAAAATTATCGGATATATATGGTTTCCTGTATGTATAAATTCCTTGAGCAAGAATTTGCATTAAATAAGAAACTAATTTAAGTTTTCTAGCATCTTTTAATCCTAGGTTAAGCATGTGGGGGGACAAGTGTCAACTGTGTGCTTGTGTACATAGCAAGTAGAATGTCAAAATGGTGAAAGATAGAGGTAACAAAAAATGCAAATGCTGCTCTACAGATGTTATGAATGTTGTTGTTGAAGATATGAGTTTGGTATCAGCTGCATGCCTTATATGTTACAAGTCAAATGTCTAAACGCTGGAAGACAGAGATGACGAAAGTATATTGAATTTAAAAAGGTCTGTTATATTCAGTAAAATGTTGTATATGCTTAACGCAGGATTAAAATAATATAGAGATGGAAAGAAGGCTGATTTAATCAAGAGCAGATTTGATGTTTTCACATATTGTAGAGAATTTTGAGGATTTTGTTCACTTCCTAAATTATAAAAGAATATGATCTTTTCATAGAAATCAGTTTGGATTACTCAGCTAATATGATTCAGTCAAATGTAACACACGTTTAAAATAAATACAAAAATAAAAATCTTAAAAAAATGCCAATTATTGATGTTAGTCTTTATATATCATGTATTTGATAAATTAACAAGAAAATAATCTGTATACATATTCCTTATTCTTGCTCTAAATTATCTTAATTTAATACTTTTATTGCAGTCAAAAGTCGTTAATTCGGACACCCATAATCCGGAATGATCTATAATCCGGACCTCAAAGCTACAAACTTTCTACTCATGCGTCGCGTTGACGCATGCGCTTAAGACCTTTACATCTGCGAATATGCTTGTGCGCGTGCGCAAAATACGTTTATGAATTCGCGTTTAATGTATAACGGACCGTATAAGCTAAGCTAAAATTATCTAATTCAGTTAATATTGTAGATTGCGTTGTTCCTTAATCTTCAAATTGGATTCGGCTTATTATTTTTTGCAGACTGTTAGAGCAATTTTATAAAGTAAGCTTGAACTTTCGATTATGTCAAATAGAATTTCTGATATATATTTACTAATATGTAAAGGATCTACAAAGCGAAAGTATGTTTCGGAGTCCATTAAACAAAAAGTGGAATTGCTGCAAAAAATGGATAAAGGCATATCCTTTGTTTATCTTTAACGCCGTGGCGCGCAATGAATTGGAAGTTGATCTGTCAGCACTATCCTTATCTTCAGGGCAGATGTTTTTATTTTATTTGGCTTATAATTCCTTACTAAATGTAGTATTTCATCTCGCTGTACTTCGTCTTTGATATGATTTAAATCAAATTCCTCGTCATTATAATTCGCTTCCGATATCGAAGAAAGTGACTGAGGTTATTGAAAACGAAAAAATTTCGATTGACAAATTAGTCGGTATTCTCGACACAGCAATTATAGGTCTTGAACAGCGGAGCTTTGTAACTGAACAAGAAATTATGTCTGTTTATAGAATTAAAGAGAATGTATTATCACATAAAAAACGAAGCAACTTAAACAACTTACATTGAAAGAAATGTTTAATAAACAAATAAATATTAAGCATTTTTTTTTTTTTTTTTTTTTTTTTGTGTGTGTGTGTGTGTTGTGTTGTTGTAAATTTTGATACCCTTTATATCATAATTGTTCTTTATTTCATAAATTACGGTTTCATATTTTTAATTTTATAATTTCTGCATGCCATCTTACCAGATTTAAACTGATGATCTATAATCCGGAATCGCCGAAGTCCCGACGAGTCCGGATTAATGACTTTTGACTGTATATTTCTGTTAATTATAAATTGCTGTTGTTTAGTTCATGAAAGAGAGACATTTCCCTTATATTTACAGATTAGAGTGGCTACAGTCGAAAGAATTGTTGATCCCCTGATGTGGATTCGTTTTGATAGTGAAGAATCTGATGAAAGAATTGTTATTACTAGCATCAATTCATTCGACATATATCCAGTGGGTTGGTGTGCAACAAATGGTTATCCTCTTCAGACTCCATTCTTCCATAAAACTAAGCCAAAATATGCATTAAATGAACTATCAGAAGAAGGAAAAACCAAGTATGTATTTCAAAATATAATGCTTAAGCACTGTGAATAAGAGTAAAATTTATACAGTAGTACAAAGCATCCGGACATCCATTATCCGGAATAATCTATAATCCGGACCTCAAAGCCAAAATTAGTTTTTACAAAAAAAACAACAATAATCATTAAAATTTATAATAAAAGTTTTTTTTTTTTTTTTAAATTTGACCCTTAGATCAGGGATGTCAAACTCATAGGTACACTTGGGCCAAACAAACAAGGTTTAACTTTAGGCGGGCCGCAAAAAAAAAAAAAAAATCAATATTCATAGAAACGTAGATTTATTTCGAATAATACAATAATAAACATATATATATATTTATATAGAAAAGAACAAGAAAAATTTAATGTTTACGTCCTGATACTTGACATCTCTTCTCTGCTATTATCTTTCCTATTTCGGGAGAAATTTTGTTTGCAGTGATAACTTTCAACGCTGACCCAAGGTGAGCATCATTAATACGGTTTCTAATAGGAGACTTATTACCTTTCATGACTGAAAATAACTGCTCGCACCGATAAGTGCTACCAAACATGGAAATAATTTCATATGCGAATTTTCGAGTATTTTCAAACCTGGCTGGTAAATATTTGTAAAATTCAGGCACGCCCACTTCAATGAATTTTGCTTTCAAATTTGAGTTGCATTGAATCTCGATCACCTCCATTTGCATATGGCTGGGTACTGAGTCAATACTTATTGAGAAAATCGAAGAAAACAAAAAAAAATTTGTCTTCGAGGGAACTAAAATCATTAAACCTCGTTTCAAATTCAGTTGTTAAATTTGCAATTTTTTCTGCGTATTTTTGATACGAACAAGTATCATCTAAACTTGATTTGTTCATGCTGCACGTCGGGAAGTGCGTCAAATCTTCATTTTTAAGTTGTTTTTCCCAAAGAACTAGTTGACATTTGAATGCTTTAATTATGTCAAACATGTTCGTAATGATATGATCTTTTCCTTGTAACGATAAATTTAAATCGGTTAAGTGTTTGGTTATATCAACCAAGAAAGATAAATCTTGTATCCATATTGGATCGTAAAACAAACTTACGTCTTGATTTTTCGTTTTTAAAAACTGACATATATTTCTTCTTTCAAATCCCAGAATTGTTTGAGAATCTTGGAGCAAGATAACCAACGTACCTCGGTATAGTAGGACAAACCCGAATATTCACTATCTAACTCACTTAAGAAAGCAGTGAATTGACGCTGATTTAAACCTCGAGATCTTATAAAATTTATAACTTTTTTTATATATGACAAAACATTCTCCATATTTATTACTTTCGTGCATAGAACTTCTTGATGTATAATACAATGCATATGATGAATGTTTGAACCGTGAATTTCACTAAGTTTTTTTTTCTTAGTAATGCTACGAAGCCCTTGTTTTTTTCCCGGTCATTGATGGAGCGCCATCTGTAGCTACAGAATTTAATTTTGCCAAAGGTAGATTGTATTTCTGCAGAAGTCCAAAAACACAAGTAAATATATCTTCTCCTGTGGTAGTACCAGGCATCGGTATTAGTTCCAGTAATTCCTCAAAAATGTTAAAATTCTTGTCACAAGAACGAAGAAACACTGCTAATTGAGCTTTGCCACTAATGTCCGTGCTCTCGTCACAGGCAATGGAGAAACTTTCGAAACTAGATGATTTTGCTTTGATCTGATCACTTAAATTCGCGGCTAAATCAGTAACTCTTTCCGCAACTGTATTTCGAGACAATGAAATTGATTGAAAAGCCTTCACATTTCCAGGACAAACAATTTCTCCAGCTTTCATTAGGCATTCCTTGATGAAATCACCGTCAGTAAAAGGCTTCGAATGTTTAGCTATCAACTCGGACAAGACGTAGCTTGCATGTACCGCCGCTTCACTTTCTTGCAATACTTTACTAAACATGGACTGTTGCTTTTTCACTCCTAACTTGAGCTCTTTCAACTTTTCTTCTCTCATTAATCCTTCGTAATTGTTATATTTCGATTTGTGTTGTTCGTAATGACGTTTAATATTATATAACTTTGGTACATTAATAGTATTATTACATATCAAGCAGATTATTTTATCTTTTATTTCACAGCAAAAAATATTCTAATTCCCATTTTACTTGGAATATTCTATGTTCGTCAGCGATTTTTCGTTTAATTTTACTACCACTTGGTTTTGATATAGACATACTGAATACAAAGGGCTGGAATAAACACGGTTAACGTTAAAAAGTTAACAAAAATTTATTCTTTCCACAAGAGATAAATCAAAATGCTGAAATATTTCTTCAAAAATATTCTAACAATATCACAAAATGTCAAACGTTTAGCAAAAATCAATTCAAAACAGAGAAACTAATTCTATCTCACAGCGAAATCGCTACAAATCAATCACAGCATTAAGTAAACAAACAGTTCGCTAGAACTACAGCTACTACTGAGATGAGTTGTTTGTTCTCGGCTTTTATAAGCTTTATAATTAATTTCTCGAATATACTGGAAACATCTATAAATATCTGGATTTTTGTGGATGGCAACAGCAATTACGAGATATTTATTTATTAGGTATTAAATGCACGCGCTGTTCTATTTTTAACCTTCCAACGCAGCTGTCTTTTCAAAAATCGTCTGCGTTGCTAAGGCAACATGAAGCAAATCTAATTACAATTCTAAATAAAAAAACTAAATAAATAAATAACTATGAAATCCATAACAATATTAATTAATAATAAAGCAAAGTGCATGCACATGCATGCACCAATATATCGTACAAAACTATGATTGGAAAACTGAGACCATGAGTTCGGCCACATTCGGCTATCGGGGGATGCGTACAAGTTCTGAGTGCACGTGTTCCCCAAAAGCCGAAGGTAGCTGAACGCAAGCTACTCACACGCATTTGTAATTTAAGTAGTGTGTGTGTCAGCTCGCTGTGAGTAATCTAACAACACTGAATAAATTATCGTTAATTACTTAGCAGTAAACATTTCATTTTTTTTCTTCGTCGATATGTTATTTTATTATATATATTATATATTTGCCGATATATTGGCCGGGCCACAAAAATATTTGTTGTGGGCCGCGAGTTTGACATCCTTGCTTTAGATCATAATTTCTCTTCATGCACGTAATGCGTTTTTGCATGCGTGTTTAATGTTTACTCATGCGCATTTTAGCACAAAAAACAAAGCAACATACATTGAAAGAAATGTTTAATAAAGTAAACAAATAAATATTAAGCTTTTTTTTTTAATTTTGATACCCTTTAGATCATAATTTCTCTTTGTGCATGTAATGCATTTATGCATGAGCGTTTAATGTTTACGCATGCGCATTTAGCACAAAAAATGAAGCAAATATCTTACATTGAAAGAAATGTCTAATAAAGTAAACAAATAAATATTGAGCTCTTTTTGTAAATTTAGATACCCTTTAGATCATAATTGCTGTTTATTTCATAAATTACGGTTTAACATTTTTAATTTTATAATTTCTGCATGCCATCTTACCAGATTTAAATTGATGATCTATAATCCGGAAAAAATCCTAATCCAAAATAGCCGAAGTCCCGACGAGTCTGGATTACGGTCTTTGTACTGTACTAAAATATTAGGGCATTTAAATACAGTTTGCACAGCTGGATTGTTCATGTAAAGATTTCTGCAGCTCATATGACATATATAAATGCTAAGTGGAATAAGCAACATCTGCTGAAAAATTCATTCCTTTCGGAACTAGTTTAAATGGCAAATAGAAGCATTATCTACTTGCAACATTTGTAGTATTCTAGATGCTCTATTTTGCATGGATCAAATAAATCATGGGACCTAAGTATAGAAAATATAAACAAAGATTCTTTGAGAAGTAGTGTTCAATGAAGTGTTGAGGGAATACTTGTCCGATAGCAGTTTAAGTGATTTTAGATACTGTCATATTATCTACAGTCCAATGGGAATTTTATTTGTCATTTGTATTGTGCCTGTAAAGCCTGTCACACTGGTCCGTGGGCGCGAAAAGTGGCAACACGGAAAAAAGTGCTTTCTGCATACGTCACTTCAAACCAGTACGGCAACTTTTGCTTTAAAAGTTGTCATATGCTCGCACAGATGATGCTTCATATTTAAAAACTTGGGAGAAAACGTGAAATTTTTGTGTGGTATTTTGATTTTTTAAGATTACATTTTTTAATTAAAATGGATTTAATTTCTGCTTGATTAAAACTTATTTTACTTCTTTTTCTTGCTTTGTGTAAGAAAAGCAGATTGCAGTGGTTTTTATATTAATATGTGAGAGATGACTACAGCAAGGAGATGCAAATAATTTAATTAAAGAAATGCATTTGAATGGAACAAAATTTCTTTTAATTGCTTTCGCATGACACCTCATCAATTCGATGAATTTCTAACCCTCATTGAACTATTTATTCAAAAGCAGAACACTAATTTTGGTCAGAATATCGTAGAAAAGAATCCTTTGGAAGATAGGAATAGGATATCCCAGAAAAGAATCATTGTATGTATCAAATGCTCTATGTATATCTAATTTAATGTATTTTGTTGAATGATAATTAAAAAATCCTAACTGCATGATTCTATTTTGGAAAGGAAATTTTTCATGGGCTAGAATACCATAAATGTTTTTCCATGATGTATGAACTTCCTTTAAATAAACTTCCCTTAATTGGTTTAAATAATGCAATAAAAAAAGTATATTTTTTTAATATATGTAGGATTTACAGCATTACTAAATTAAATATCACACTTAAAAAAAGCAGTTATTTTTAAGTTACTAAATAACAGCAATTTTTTTTTAATATTTTAGTTTCTGTCTTATGTACATATTTTTTACTTTAAATGCAACAGTAATTACTTCAATTGGTCATTCGTATATTAATGAACAGCCACTATCTAAAGGTTTATTTTATAAGGTCACTTTTATCGAAAAAGCAATGAAGTACTGTATTTGACGGCATATAAGACG